TCAGAACAGGAACAGCACTGATAGATAGGTAGATAGATTTTTTTCTTTGAAATTATACTCGGACAACTGTATTGTTTTAAAATTATGTATAATTAAATTATATAATTTTTTGATAGCAAAATATTTTTAATATATACATTTAATTTATAATATTTAAATTAAGTATATATATTATTATTATTATTTTCATTTATTTATTAATTTGTTTACTAAAAACAACATTTCTTTGTAATTTTGCTCAGACAACCTTAGTGTTTTCTGTAACTGGGTTGAAGATAAATGGTGTCCATATCAGAAAATGATAAAATGTTCAATGCCTGAGGGGATGTTTTTTTTTTTTTTATGGTTTTCATACTTATTGTTATGGCGCTTTCTGAAAATGAAATTATCTTTGGAGCCCAAGAATTACCCATAAGGTAACTGAATTAGCTGATTGGGTTGGCGGTTGACGGTTGACAATAATTTAGTTAATGTATTTAACATTAACATGTATTATTTCGAATCTGACAGCTTTGCTTGAAAATAAATGGTGTCCATTTCGGACCAAAATTGAATGCCTGAGGTAGGAAAATATGGTTTAATAGATTAATATGTGCCTGGTATTTTGGGGTGTTTCAAAAATTGAGTAAATATAGTAAGTTGAAATAGAACTGAAGCCCGTGAATTAGCATAAGGTAATTGAATTAGCTGATTGAGTTGGCAGTTGGCGAAACACTTGGGTTCAATCAATAGATTGTCCCAGATTCTGATTGTATTGGGTTCTCGGTGTTACCGATAGGTGTGGAAATGGATTGTGGTATATGTGCCCTCTGGGATCCTCAATTTTTATGTTTTATGAGGTAGAAATGGACTCCTGAGGGAGGAACCCCACTCCACCCAGATGAGCCCCGCTTTTATTGCTGTGAAGCGGCCCACCTGTCATCCCCACGGCTCTTATGGAGATGGATTACATGTGCCGTTTTTTCTCTCTGAATCTATAATCTTGAGTCACAGCGTGAGGTAAAGTATCCTAACATGCTAATGCCTCACAGAAAGGGATTGTGGGGGGAAAAACAACACAATGTGACGGGCTGATGAGTGTGAAGAAGTGTGAGGAGCAGCGATTTATAACCTGTTGAGTGCTAATGACAGGTTCTGCACTTTGTTTCAGCTCCAACTTTGCTTTCAACATTAAAACCCTCCCTTTTGCCCTCAATGCGTCTGATGTTTGGAACTGTTTGTTCACGGAGCAAATTCAGATTTATCTGAAGCGTTTGAAAGCATCAGGTAGAAATGAAAAGAGCCATTGCCTTTGGAAGATGAAAAGACGAAAGGAAAAACACGGATGAAAGCACAAACTCTCTAATTCTGATTCGAGTCGGTTCGAGTGAATGTGAAATGAAGGGAGATGCAGTAGAAGCTGCTGAAGGACAGTTGTGTGCACAAAGGTACTAGAATACAAATACAATGACTTGTGTTCTTTAGCCGTCGAGAAGGAACGAATGCTAGTGTCCAACAGTACAGAGACTCTGCGTCCACCAGTGGCATATCTGCTGTCAGTGTGAACACTGCTTAAAGTTTTCAGTGAGAATTGGGATGGCGTTTATGTGCTTAAATGTGACAGGTGATTAAACATTCTCCATTACAGTTTAATGCGCAGAGATGACTAAATTAGTCGTTTATGGATTTATCCTGAAAAACTGTGCTGCTTTCAGCTAATTTTGAATGTTTTGCATGTGACGGACTTCTCATTTGCCTTACTACACCTATACATATTTGTCTTTTTATTTTATTTAGGTTTACTCAGATATAATACTTTTGAATTCACTTTTTTTCATTTTTAATAGTTATAAATTAAATATTTTATCATTTAAAATGGACTTAAACAGCTTGTTTCCTGTGGGAGTATGTGATTTTTATGATAATAATAATAATTATTATTATTGTTGTTATTGTTATTATTACTACTACTACTACTACTACTACTATCAGTACTGTTTTTTCTTAGTTTTTCAATTTCTGAAAAAAAATTTTTTTTACAAAATTACTTGCAGGGGTATTTTTTATTTTATTTTATTTAACTTTTATTTAACATTTTATTTTATTTTTTATTTTGACTGTGGTTTTAGAATAAATTAATGAATCAACATGAAAATTTTATTTTTGAAGTCTTTTTGGTGCCAGTAGAGGTGCATGAATAACACATTTCACATTTTAGTTCTGCCAAATGATGGTGTCAGCATAATTTTGTCTACTGGTTTGTTTTCTTAGGTTTATAATTGTAAGTAAGCTGTGCAGCTGCAGCGTTTAATGTTCTGCTGATGGCTACATACCCATGAAGGGCCCTAGAGATGGCAAATCCCCACTTGTATCGCCACCTCGAGCGTCATTGTGTTTCCTTTCATGCTCATCTCTGCGCCACTCATGTGTGTTCCCACAATGCAACAGTTTGTCAAACCGACGCTTGTTATGGTCGGTTAGAAGGAGGAAGGAAATAGTATGTGACACTTTAACTGATTTCCTTGATTTTGTTTTTGTATCTCTGCCGCTTTTCCTTCCCAGCCGTTCTAGGCCACTTCTCGTTCTCTTTCAGTCTTTGTATGTGTCAGTATCTCTCTCTTCCCCTCTCATTCACCAGTGTGCCATTTCCCTGGAGAGCCCTTGCCCCTTTCTGAGAGGTCTCGCTGACTGAGGCGGTTTTGAAGTGGGTTTTCCTCAAAGTGTGCAGACTAAGGCTAACAGCTTATACTTATCAACCCAGCAGCCTCATTTCCTGGCTGTCTCGGGGCTTCTGGGTCAAGGATGCATCACTGTTGCCCTCCAACAGCAATTTTGGACTCCATCCGATTACTCACATTACTCACATAGCCCGTGACAAACATCCAAAGCCACAAACAGGGGCGCGTTTGGCCACGTTAGTCCAAATGTTTCCCAGCTGGCTCCATTACAATTAGCGTGCAATTGTGGCTTTCCTATGCATTGCATGGTCCCTTTTTAGATTGAGAAATGCAAGTACACAAGTTTGCATGTCAAGATTTTTACGTTTTTATGGTTTTCCACGTTCCACAGTGATTCTAATTCCTTGTTTTTCTAAAATTGTTAAAGCTAGATGCATTGTTAGTTTTTCATCTTTAGAGTCAATAAATGATTTATATGGCGTCATTAAAGTAGCTAATTTGTGAATGCTTTATGACATAAATGTAATTGAGCTTTTTGCATCTGTTTCTCAGGTAAAAACATATTTTTAGGACCAGATTAGCTTGCGTGACAAGCAAGCGGTGAACACCATTAGCTTCCGTCTCAGATTCTTATGTATTCTGTGCTTTGTGTCGAACACGAGAAGCTTGTCATTTCCTACGTAATTAAAGTACGGAGCAGCTTGCTTGCTACGTTATGGAAAGTCTTGCCGTAATTGTTTTTCGCACAACACCACTGGTGCAGATAATTGGCCATTAGTGCTGTCTGAACAATGCGGGTTGGTGGCTGAACACTGTTATGTTTTTTAATTATACGTCACTATAAACGTCAGGCAATTATGTCGGTTTATAACTTTTCCCAGAAGTATTTTGCTTAGCCGTTTCACAGCGGAAAGGTGAGGGATTCTAACCCATGAATGTTTCAGAATGAAAATCACTTAGCCAACAAAAGAACACGATGAAAGCTGTAATCATGTGTTTTTGAGAGTATCATTTCAAGTTTTATGATGGCTTTTTTTGTTGCATGCAACTGGTGTTGCTTCAAGACCCAGATATAAGTTGGACATCTATGATTTCCTCGATGCGGAGAATGTGGACTGAATCGTGGAATCCGGTCATAAAAATGGAATTTACTGTATAACGCAAAATGTCACGGAATTTGCCAAATTTTGAATGAATAAATCAAATGTAGGCCAGTACACTTAAATCAAGATATGGACTAGTGTCTGTGAATATTAAGCCGCCTCAATATGTGAGTACATGAACACATGAACATAATCTCTAGAACTGCTCTGAGAGTCACTTCATGACCATTTTACTGTTTCTTTTGAGAAAAACTATCATCATATCATATACAAACAGAAACTCAAAGGTCTTCACAGCAGCCCATCAAAATAAAAGTTCGGTTTAACTTGAAGAAACTGTGACAGAAATATATTACTGAATGTAATGATAGTACTACTACTAATGATAACATTTTTATTAAAACATAATTTTTAAGGAATATTTACCAGAATTTATTTAGCTAAAAAATGTAAACACACAACACTGTATTTCTGGGGGAAAAAAATAGATAAATTAATAATAAATTAGGGTTTTTTTAAAACTAAAATCAATTAATTAGAGATGCTTTTGATTATTAAAATGTAATGAAACCATTAAAATGGAATCCAGAAAACTAATGGAAAACAGAATTTGGTAAAAAAAAAAAAAAAAATTTAATTTGAGAAAAAAATCAAATATAGGATCTTTAAATGTATTTTTTGTTAAACTTCTAAGAAATTTCTATTAAATTGTGTAAGTTTTGTGATTTCAATTATTTAGACATGCTTTTTGATTAATAAAATTTAATTTAACCATTAAAACAGAGTAAAAAATTTAAACGGAAAAAAACGAAACAGAAAAAGTGGAATTTGGAAAAAAATAAAGCAGAATTTGGGATTTCATAGGGCCCTACCAAAAATTAGTCATTTACTCTCCTTCACGTCGTTCCAACCCCATTAGACTTTGAAACACAAATTAAGACGTTTTTAATAAAACCTGATTGTATTTTATCACAAGACTTGGATTAAACTGCTCGATTCATATGGATTCGCATTACGATGACTTTGACTTTATGACCAACTTTTGGGCGGAGAGACAAAACCCTTTCAGGTTTTATTTAAAATATCTCTTTGCATTTCGAAGGTTAATCAAAATCTTGAGGGTGAGTGAATGATGACAGAATCTTCATTTCAGGTGAAGTGTCCCTTTAAATGCTAAAGCTAAAATGCTTCTCATGCATAGTCTGTGAATCCTCTAACGCATTCTTCTCTCTGTCCTCAGGTTCTGGCATTCGAGGTTTTACCCCGTTCAGGTTCTCGGTCGAACCCGTCGACACGCTGGCCGTACGCGGCCTCCCCGCTGTCCTGAACTGCTCAGCCGCTAGCGACGCTCCGGTGAGGGTGGAATGGAAGAAGGACGGGACGTTCCTGAACCTGGTGGCGGACGACCGGAAGCGGCAGCTAGTGGACGGCTCATTGCTCATCAGTACGGTGGTCCACTCCAAACACAATAAGCCTGACGAGGGGGTGTACCAGTGCGTGGCCACCATCGACAATCTGGGCACCATCAGCAGCCGAACCGCACGACTCACAGTGGCAGGTATGAAAACAAAGCCTTTGAGGTTCATAAATTGTGTATTAAGCCGACTGTATCAAATTTGTAATGCAGAATTCTAAACTGGATCAACCAAAACTACATGCCTTCTGTCATCTGGTTGACAGCTTATACTTTTTTGACACGTAAAAGGCCTTTGAGTATAATTGTAAAAATGTTCACCTTCAAGTCGTGGTTCATATGTTGTTTTGCTGTGAAATAGGCTATATAAATAAACATAAGAATAACTTTTATATTGTTAGTAATAAGCATGGGCCGATTATCGGTATCAAGGTATACCGCGGTTTGAAAATTTCATGGTTTCAAAACCACTAACATTTTCCGGTATACCGTTCCTGCGGTATGCGCTGTTTTTCATATCTCCTCAAAGACTGAAAGCGTAGGAATCCATCAGGTTGAGTGCAGTGTTGAGAGTAACACGCCCCCTCCCCCTCCTGTTGGTGCGAGCAGTCAGTCACGTGTGTGTATGACGGCCGAAGGAGCTTCCTCTGGAACTCACGCGATCGGCAACAGGCCGTTTATTGTTTTATTGCAGCCAATCTCTGTTCTGACTGGACTTGCACAAACTACCTTGCAATGCATATCATTTTCCAAATGTCACTTATGTGAAAATATGAAGTCTGTAAATGCCCGTTAACACAAGCCACGAGATACAACTATTTGAAAATCTGGAATCTGAGGGAGCAAAAAAATCTAATTATTGAGAAAATCGCCTTTAAAGATGTCTAAATGAAGTCCTTAGCAATGCATATTACTAATGAAAAATTAAGTTTTGATATATTTACAGTAGGAAATTTACAAAATATCTTCATGGAACATGATCTTTACTTAATATCCTAATGATTTTTGGCATAAAAAAAAATCAATAATTTTGACCCATACTATGTATTTTTGGCTATTGCTACAAATATACCTCAGCGACTTAAGACTGGTTTTGTGCTCCAGGATCACATTTGTTCATTTTGGCCATATTAATATCAGCATCTGCACCAAATTGCATATTTTTGCTCAGTTTGGGCCTCTGAATAAAATTGTCACAATATTATACTATATAATCCATATTTTTTAAATTCTAAAAGGTCGTTTTTATAGGGTTATTATAGTCTGAAGCTCAAACCTCGTGCTCTCTGACCATCTGATGCACACAAAAATGGCAAGATGTTTCTCAAAACTGCTGTTTTTCTGAGTCAGGCAGAATGGATTTCTATCAGTCCATTGGGAGCGCATCAATCTGTCAGAGTTCAGAGTGCTGATATGGGATCAGTTTTCCTCTGCAGAACACGGGTCAGCGCGCTGTAGTCGAGCTTCACACTATGCTATGAATCTAACAGCAGGATTAGTGTGTGTTTGAACAGCAGGGTTAGATATCAGCCAGGCCTTCACAGTTTGCTCTGACTGGAGCCTCCGTTTCCTTTAAAGACGCCCAGCAGAGTTTTCTCACTATTTGCTAGTTTTACTTCTTGAGTAAATGCAGTTGTACTGAGAAATTCCAACGGGAAGAACCAGAATTAATATAATATGTTTGTGTAGCATCCCACAAGATGCTTTTAGAGCTCAGAGGTTGCTGTTTTATAGCTCTGGAGATTTAAATGGTTCATTTAAGTATCAACTTTGCCTCGGATGTTTCTACTGAAGTTCCTTAGAACACTCTCAGAAAAAAAGGTACAAAAGCTGTCACTGGGGCGGTACCTTTTCAAAAGGTAAACTTTTGTACCTTTTAGGTACTAAAATGTACACTTTAGGTACTTATATGTATCTTTAAGGTACCAATACGGACTCTTTAGGTACAAAGGTGTGCCTTTTGAAAAGGTACCGCCCCAGTAGTGTTGTTTTTGGCGGCCTGTTTTAATTTTAGTTTTAGTCTAGTCTTTGTGTGAAGCTGTCATTTTAGTTTTTATTAGTTTTAGTCACGTTCATACTCTTTTTAGTCTAGTCAAGTTATAGTCAACTAAAAGTCTGAGCATTTTAGTCTAGTTTTAGTCGACGAAAACTGATGACATTTAGTCTAGTTTTAGTCAATGAAAATTGTATTTTAGTCTCTTTTTAGAAATGCAATTCTATTTAACCCAGTCAATATAGTATAAGTACCTAATGTTAGTAGTATAGACGAAACCAAAATTTTCTTTTAGCCAAACCCATTTCAAACAAGGTTATCTTATTATATTATTGTAACCTTATAGACTCAAGAATACATCCATTCCAGACACGGAAGACGCTCTGATTTGAATTTACAACATTTATTTTACCAACCAAACATGTTAGAAGTACACACACATAAATTTAAATAAAGACGAACCCCGGCTGGCCGGCCATCGGTCCCTTTCTCTGTGTCAGACTTAACTTTGTTTGGTTTTCATCTTCTAAATCAGTGTTTCCCAACCTTTCTTTAGTCGCGGCACCCTTTGGAAATTTTAACAAATTTGTGGCACCCTACAAAATTAATTTTGTCACAATATTTGAATTTCTAACTTCGATATGATAATTTGAAAAGTATAGATATTATCAACGAAAATGGAGACATTTTAGTATAGTTTTAATTTTGTAAACCACATTTAGTCTCGTTTTTATTCGTCAACGATATTGCATTATACATTTAATTATAGTCATCGTCACATGACCAGCATTTTCGTTGCGTCTCGTTTTCGTCACGTGATAAAGGTTCGTTGACGACGATATTTAGTCATAATTTTCGTTGACGAAATCAACGCTACGCCCCAGTGACCGCTTTGGGGGGATGCCACTTCAGCAACTTACTTATAATCTTGCTCTGTATGGGTTTGAAGCAACATGAGGGTTGCTATTTATCCCTTCAATTTGCCATTTTGCAGTGATCTTAACGTGATTTCTGTCCTCCTCTTCCACATGCATGTACCATTACACGATTTTTCACTCTGAAAAAAAAATCTGACAGAAACAGGGAGTTTTACTTCAGGTTTTTGGAGGGAAATGTTCTTCCTGGTCTTTTAACTCCATATAAAGCGTTCGACACGTGTGTCGTTCACACGTTTGATAGTTCCTCACCTTTCCACCTGTCTCTCCGGCCTTCAGGGAAAATTTGTCCTAAAACACAAGCGTTCTCTCTTTATTCTCCAACAAAACTCTTGTCTCTTTTCATTTCTCCAGCCGTCAGGTGCTTTCTCGGTGAAATCTCTGAGATCTGGCCTCTGAAGCGGTATCACGGGGCTCCATATGCTGCCAGCAGAAATAAAGGATGCTTTTCTGAGCTCGGGATGACGAATGACGTGTTCAGGCTTTCAGAGCGAGAGAATTAGCATCAGTGCATTATACTACATTAAGACTCGGAAGCGCTTTTCTATTTCCTTTTGTGTTTGGGTTTTAATGCCTGTCAGTTGTGTGTTTGTGCTGTAGCTCTGACCCCTGACAGCAAGAACAAATTACTGGATTTTACAGTTTTCTGAGAGTGCTTCCTGACTGTGTGAAACTTACTGCTGTTAATGCTGTGCTTGGTGATTGCTAGGGATAGTTTTAGGTGCTTTTTGTACATTTTTATGTTGTTGCTAGGGTGTTTAGGGTGTTTTTTTAAGCATATTGCCTTGCAGTTGCATTTTGATAGGGTGTTTTGACTATTTTATTGCATCACTATGCAGTTGCATAGTGTTTTGTGGGTGATTTCTATGAGGTTTCTTACAGTCTAACCGATAATCTGGTCTGTACATATGGCTCGAGTTCTTTCTTCAGTGTGCATCTGTGGATTTTTTTCTGGTGAAAAATTGTGCACATATCCTCAAAAAGACACATGATTGGGGAATCATTAGTTATGCTTCAGGATTTAATATTCAGAGTTAGTGATCTTGATAAACCACTATATTCGAGTGTGAGTTGTACTAGTGATGCTTAACTTGATGAAGCCTTATTAACCTACCAGCTCAACCTACAAAGATGCATTTGAATGATTTGAAGGGCTTTTAGAGGCAAGACATTATTGTACTTCTATTTTTCATAGGAAGCAACACTAAAGCTGTAGCAGAGCACTAGAACACACACACACACACAAGCATGTGCTTAAGTGCCTTGTCCGTGTTTTCAGATCTAGCTGGTGGTGCACGGTAAGGAGACTTGAGGAATCCCTGGGGTCGTTACACTGAAAGTTCAGGGCAGCCTGTATGAGGAACACACGCAGTATTTCAATTCAATGCTTTTCACCGTTCACAGGAGATCATTTAAAGCATGATGGCGCTCGTTCTGACAGTTTGCTAACATTTATTTCATATGTTAATGGCCATTTCATTCAGTCATTCATTGCACCAGGAAAAAGAGTGTGACACTTCAATGCCATCGGAGCGTCTCTCTTCTCTTTACACACACACAAATGGTCTTTCTCTTGTTTTTTCATGAGTTTTCCTTTAAGGACAGAACAATGACAGTCACTACAGGTTCATGCTGCCAACACAATCTATGAATATATACTTAAACATAGGTATTTTTATGCAAAAATGAAGCAAAGAGTTGGAGTCGAGCATGTAAACTAGCTAAATTAACAACAAAATAATAATAATAATAATGAAGATTTTGATTACATTTTACATTTATCATTATCATTACATTTAGCAGACACTTTTATCCAAAATGACTTATAATAATAATTAGAATATTATTAAATAAAAAAACTAATGATTATTAAAATTAAGTGTGTATATATAAATCAACGAAAATGGAGACATTTTAGTATAGTTTTAATTTTGTAAACCACATTTAGTCTCGTTTTTATTCGTCAACGATATTGCATTATACATTTAATTATAGTCATCGTCACATGACCAGCATTTTCGTTGCGTCTCGTTTTCGTCACGTGATAAAGGTTCGTTGACGACGATATTTAGTCATAATTTTCGTTGACGAAATCAACGCTACGCCCCAGTGACCGCTTTGGGGGGATGCCACTTCAGCAACTTACTTATAATCTTGCTCTGTATGGGTTTGAAGCAACATGAGGGTTGCTATTTATCCCTTCAATTTGCCATTTT